GGATGTAACCTAGACATGGTATTTCAGTGCACCCGCTCTTTAGCTAGCCATATGCAAGACCCATTTAACAGCAACCTGAGAGAATGTGCCATACCTGTATGTGATTTTCACTTCAGTGCCAGGCTCATCTTTCTCCCAGATCAAAGCCACTCTGTCTGGAGACCGTTGGACATGTTGGTCTAAGCAGTTTACTGTATGAAAAGAAACATTTAAGAAAGCATTTGTATTTGTTTTGTATTAAAGATGGTTGCAATTTGGCTAACTTGGCTTCCTGATCAGACATGCATGCAACTAAACAGAAGGTGAATATCAGAAGCTAGCTAAATAAACATGGGCTATATTATTTGAAAGATACTTAAGCTATTCACAGTAGGGATATAATAGTATAGTTAATTAATCGATTAACCAATAAGCAAAAGCGTATAGGTTAATGCCACAGACCACACACATTTCTCCCTCTCCCCCCCCTTAGCCAGTAAATGTTTTAGCAGGCTGGCCAGCAGTCCAGCTCAGTCCCGGCTCGTGCCTGGTCTGGGACCTACCCCTGCTGAGGCTCTACATTTAAAGTGTAATAGGAGCCAGGCGAGCAAGCAGCCTGACTCAGTCCTGATTCGCACCAGGTCTGGGAGCTCAGACCAGTCCCAGGATAGGGGCTGCTGCCACCCTGAGTCCGCCAGGGGAGCTGGCAGTAGCACAGAGGGGCAGGGGGTTCCTCGGGAGTGGGGCCGGAGCGCACTGGCTGCTGGTCCCACCCCTGGGGACTACAGAACAGTCGAGTAACCAATAAAAATTCATGAGATTAATCGACTATTCGTTAACCGATATTTAACATCCCTAATTCACAGTGATGCACGGACACTACTATTGTCTTTCTTGTCCTAGAGCTGTGTGTTTTATTGGGCAGCATCTTCACTCTCTCGCTGGCCAAAAGACTCCACTTTGGGTGGACTCCAGTTTACAATGAACAGGAAAGTCCCTGTTTGTGGTGATGCAGCTCTTCAGCCAACCTTACTACTGATTTTCTATTTCTTTTATCATATGGCTCTCAAGGACTTACAATTCTCATAAGCAGACCTGTTAAAAACCATCTGCACTTTTGGCAAATCTAAAAATTGTGCAAAGTTATTCAACTGCACTGCTTTGTGTGTTTCACATGACATAGCCCCAGTACACCCAGCCTGCCTTTGAAAACCAATTCAAGTGTTTGTATGCCCTCTAATTCAGCAGCACAGGCTCAAGGAGTTGGATACTTTTCATATTTTCTGCAGCTACACCCCACCCATGTTCGCAGAGAGCTGATTTGTTTGTACAGTATAAAGACCAATGATTAAAATATCTTCCAAACTGTTATAAACATTATCTGATAAGTGGCATGGCAGTGGAAACTGACTAGATCCCTTCACTGTGCATTTCCTGCCTTTCCCACAGTTGAGAGTTGCTTTAGATTTATGCAAAAAAATTTTAAAGTGCAATACTGAAGAGGGGAAGTGCTGGAGACTATTAAAACAAACTTCAACTCACTTATTTCTGCAGGAATATATTTAGATGAGTACCTACTAGGACGCACGAGACCACAATGACCTTGGGCCACTCAGGCTCGGTCTACACTACAGAGTTTTTCTGCAAGAACTTGCAGAGCATCCACACCTCAAGCACGTTTTTGCACAAGTAAAGCAAAAGAACAAAGGCGTTTTTCCAGTGTAGGTATTCCTCCTTCTGCGAGAGCTCTTGCGCAAAAAGGTGTGTGTAGACAGTGAACAGGTTTTTTTTTTTTTGGCAAAAAGAGGCAATCAAAAAAAGCACAGGTGCCCTGATGGCCATTCTGTAAACAGCAATCAGAGTTTCCTTTCAAGAGCGCATCCATGCATTCTGGACACACTCTTGCGCAAGACGTTTTTGTGGAAGATCTCTTCCACAACAAGCTTCTTGCGCAAGAACCCTGTAGTGTAGATAGACATAGCCGCACATAGCTTCCTTGTGACTCAGCTCCTCATTGTAAGATGGGCACGACAGTACTTCTTTCCCTTAAGGCAAGCGGTGAGAATACCTACATTAGACACTTTCAGGTCTGCTGGAGAAAGGCACAATACAAGAGCTAGTTATGATTATTATTTTATTATTAATTATTATTATTATTTGCACACAGTTAAGCCTGCAATGAAAAAGCACTGTGAATCTAATCCTGGCTTGGGAATCATTCGCCAGTTATCAGAGATCAGAGAACTCGTTATAAACTCTTCTAGAAGTGAGCCAAAAACTTTCACATGTGCAGAGGGAGAGGAGACACCAGCACGGAAGTGGAGGGATGCGGAACTGTGGGAATCGCTGCCCCCCAGCCCCTGCACTGTGCTCAGCACCCTCCATGTCCAGCTGTGGAGCACTGCGGCACCAGGTCATGCTGACAGTGACTCACTGCCCCAGCAACAATCTGACTCACAGCTGGGAGCAATGGAGAACTGGTGGAGATACTGTTGCCTTGGGGTACATCTACCCTGCAATCAGCCACCAGCAGCCGCCTGTGCCTGCTGATTCAGGCTGGAAGGGCCCAGGCTGCAGGGCTTTTTCACTGCAGTGTAGACTTCCTGGCTTGGGCTGAAGCTCAGGCTCTAAGGCAGGGCTATTCAATACGTGGCCCACGATGCAGATTGGGGTTTACACAGGGCGCAAGATGCAACCCGCAAGTGGGCTCGTTTGAACATGGCCTCCACAGGGAACACGCTCCACAACGCGAGGCATCTCCCAGGCAGGGTGAGCACTGAAAGACACAAGCGGACGGGCTGGCGGGAACAGACGGGTACAAGGTGTCTGCGTTTCTAGCCCCCAGGGAGGAGGTGGGAAGTGCTTTGTATTCAGGCCCATCAGTGTGAAAAAAGCCATTTTCATATATTTGCACATATATTTGCATGTAGATGCAACCACACTTAAGTGGCGGCCCTCGGCATGTGCTGAGAGTATCATTGTGGCCCCCGGGGCTTCCAAAGTTGAGTAGCCCTGGTCTAAGGGCTTGTCTACACTGGCAAGTTCTCTCAAGGAAACTAGTATCAACACACAGAAATCAACAACAGCAAAGTGACTACTACATGTTCACACTTGCCCCCTCTGTCGACAGATTGTGTTCACATTGGGAGTTCCCGTTGACAGCAGAAGCAGTGCACTCTGCGTGTGTCCCACGGTGCATGGTGACACCATCTGTCACTATGTGTTGTGGGACTGCAGAACAAAGTACAGGGTATCTTGGGACTGTGCAAAATAGCCTGTTGGGCACCGCTTTGTTTAGGGGCTTTTGGTGTCCTTTAGAGCTCTCTTTCCAACTGCACTCTGGAATTTGTGGCAAGAAAGGATGGGTACGCACGCTCTGCTAACTGGAGGGGCGGGGGGAGAACCTTGCGCACAGCAGCAGAGATCATCTTGAAAATTACTGACAGAGGAAGAAGACTTGGAGGAGTCTGACTGTGCGCACAATATGGACAGTGACAACCGGTCATTGCATTTGGCAGTCACAGAGCAGCTGGATGCAGTAGACCATCACTTCTGGGCTAGGGAAATCAGCATGAGTGGTGGGATTGCATCATCAGGCAGCTGTGGGATGAAAACTAGTGGCTACAGAACTTCAGGATGCAAAGAGCAGCCTTCTTGGAGCTGTGCGCCAAGCTGGCCCCTGACAGCTATGCGAGGACACCAGAATGAGAACTATTCTCTTGGTTGAGAGCCGTGTGAAAATTGCTGTGCGGAAGCTTGTGATTCCGGACTGCTACCGGTCAGTTGCCAATCAGTTTGCAGTGGGGAAGTCCGCCACTGGAAGCAATAAATCACGTTCTGCTACAGAGGACCATGACTCCAGGAAATGTGCATGACACGGTGGCTGGCTTTGTGGACATGGGTTTCTCAATTGGCGGGGAGGGAAATAGATGGCACACATTCCGATTTCAGGGTCAGTCCACCTTGTCACTAAGGACATCAACAGGAAGGAATACTGCTTGATAGTGCTGCAGGTGCTTGCGGATCACCATGGGCATTTCACAGACATCAACACGAGGAAATCTGGAAAGGGGCAGGACACACACTTCTTCAGAAACACTGGCCTATACAGAAAACTATAGGCACAGGTTTCCTTTCCAGACCACAAGATTATAGTGGGGGGATGTGGAAATGCCCATAGTGATCATGGCTTACCCCTTGCAACCGTGGCTCGTGAAACCCTAAGCGGGGCATCTGGGCAGTAATAAGGAGTGTTTTAACAATGGGCTGAGCAGGCGCCACATGATGGTCAAAGATAGGAATAGAATAGGATAACTATTTAAATGGTTAACCAATAAACCTGGACTTATCGGTTACCATGAGCAGTTACACAGTCACCCAATTACCGACTTTTTTACATCCCAAGTCAAAGGTGCCTTTGGGAGATTCAAGGCAAGATGGAGGTGTCTCTATGGCAGGCTCACTGAGGCCAATATTCCCGTGGTTATCACTGCATGTTGCACTTTACTTAATTTGTGTGACTAAGGAGGAATTGTTTACTCGGGGTAGACCACTATGGCACAGCGCTTGGCTGCAGAATTTGAGTAGTCAGACATTGGAGCTGTCAAGAGGAGCTCAAAGGTCTGCTGTTAACATCAGGGAGGCGTTGAGGGTGCACTGTGAAAATGAGCACTGAAATAAACCTCTGTTATAATTGCTTCCTATCTGCGTTCCGCCCCCTCCCCACCCTCACCCCCATCCAATGCAGCACATAACCAGGAACTGCCTTTAAATCCTGCACCAGGGATCACAGTGCTTGGTCTGTGAGGAGGTTGAACAATAAATGAAAGCAATGTGACATTATAAAAGTGTGTCTTTATTCATCAGAAAGCAGTGCAATGAAATGCAATAGAACACGCCTGACTGCCAGCACTTCCCTTACCAGGTAAGAGCTACACCTCACAAATGTGTGTCGTCCAGGTACATTAATCAAAGTTGGGAGAGGAGGTAATGTGCATGGGAAAATGAGTACCCCAAGAGGGAGAAGAAATGTGAGAACATGGAGAGAGGGTTGCTGGACACAAAATTTTGAATCTGCTACAAGGGAGGCAAGCATGTTGGCTCACTGTCCTGCTTCACTGAACACTTGAGGATCTTAGTCTGTCCCTCCATCACACTGACTGTGCATTTTGTGGCCTGCCTGGCGAAGGCCTGGTTGTCCTTGTGGTTCCAC